TTAATATTTTGAGACTAATTTTATGAGAGATTAAGGGTTAGTGAAAGAAACACAAGTAAAATAAACCTTTCCTAAATTCTTAGTTGGCATTTACGAGAAGTAAAAAATGATAATTACAATGAGCAAGCCTGTAATGTCTCATTCCATGACCTAAAAATTATAGACGAAGTAGGAAGGCCACTCTACATAGTCAAAAATGAAATAATAACAAATAAGACATACAACAATAAGAAGAAAACAAAATTTCTTCTTTCACTATTTTTATGAATTTAGTCAGGGCCTACAGGGTGTACAGTATCTCACTACGGAGATCGGACTTGTAGTGATTCTCCTGTTCTCAGTCTCCCAAGTGCTGAGATTACAGGTATGCACTACCATGCCCAGTCTCAATTGTTGCTGAGCTATCTGGCTGGCCCAGAAAACAGAAGTTCTTAACTGCTTTTCCATGATTCTACTTGAAAAGAAGTGTTAGTGCAGAGTATGCTACCATGTTTCACAATTCAATGGAAAGAATTGTTCAATACCCTGGGTGAGGAAGGCCAGAGACACCAAAAGATAAGTTTGTTATGATACAGTCAAGTCTGTAATATGGTTGAGCCAAGAAAAATACATCTGGAAAAGTCACTGGATAGTAGAAGAGATGTTGTCATACTAGCTGCCATTTATTGAGAGTCAAACGTTGTTAGATGTTTTTCAGATGCTCTGTGCTATTTTATTTATGATATAATTATTTTCATATTAAGCTGCCCCTACAGGTAAGTGTTGTTATCCTCATAATACTGATGTGGAACTAAGTTCCAGGGAAGTTAAAGGACTGCTTGGGGACAGGGGCGCTGTAGCTGGGGCCGGTGCCACTCCCAGCAGCCAAGCATCGCAGAGCCACCACACTCTTCAGCTTGGCATAATCCCTGAAGAACAGAGGTAGACTTTTAACTCAGTGTGCTTAAGAAAATACTCACCACCACCTCGAGTTATCACTGAACAAACTGTGATGCGTCAGAAGGCCAAAGGTAGACACTGGCCTTCATGTCCTTTTGGTACAAAAGCATACGGATCTTGTATCCGCATATCCTGGCCGATTCTCACCTCCGTTTCACAGCATAATGAAAATTAATGTGTAACCCAGTCAGAAGGCTGCTGCTGTGCATAAGCTCTGGTGAAGGTCTGTTTGCCAAGGCTGACAGTTCCTGTTTCAGAGCAATGAAAATCATAGAATAAAAGTTTCTGTTATTTTTTATTGAGAAATGCTATCCTTGATTCTACCAACAATGTACATCTATCAGTGAAAAAGGTATTTTTTATGAAACCTGCTTATATACAATTCACACTCATGTGAGGTAAAATATTTAGATATGAACTGAAAAATGCAGTAGTGCAATATTCTTTAAAATGTTTCTCAGGGCCTGGGAGATGGCTCAGTAGAATAAGCACTTCCCTGGCAAGCGCAAGGGTCTGAGTTCAATCCCCAGTTCCACAAAAAAAAACCCCAAAAGTTTCTCAGTTCCCGCTGGCAGCAGTCCATAGGTGAAAACAAACAGCTGGTATTGAGGCAAGAAAATGTTCAGGTATGAGTATGAGTCTGATACTCCTGATAGTATCTTGTTTCCAACTAAATTTGCGCAAGACTGCAGCAGCCACCTCCGGTCACAGATGGTATCTGCCTGAAGAAACTTTTGAAAGACAAAGGTCTGGTATTTGTCTACTTCCATTTTTCAGCCTTTCCTCTGTGTATGACTATCATGCATAGCAAAAGAAGTAATTATTAGAGTAGTATTTATTCACTATGCTCCTTGAAGAAATCAAGTCCTAGAATGTTTAAATGCTATTCAAGCAATAAAAATATGAGCAAGTAAGATTGTAGAAAAATTGCACAAAATTAAATAGTATCTTGGTTATAGGAATTTTCTGAGCCTTAGCTAAGAAAATGTAAATTAAAATTCTCCAATTTATGTCTATAGTATTCATATGTGATTAACCGTCAAGTCTTATATAAAATATACATTTATATTTATATATAGTTTAATATATATTTACATATGAGGTCGGTCCTCTTTACAAATATCCATGGAAATCATGTTTTATATGGCAACATGAAATGCTCATTTAGAGTAATAAACCAGAGTAACTCACTGTAGATTATATATAATCCATATTGATTTAATCTGGGAACCAGAAGTCAGAGTTCTCACCTTCAAAAACTGAGGTTGACCTAGATATCATGCCAACTGGTATTTTCTTAGTCTAATATCTCTGTATGCTATAGTGTACAATATGACACATGAGAAGGTAATATTCAGTGGGAAGCTGTCATAGAAACAGGTCAAAGAATGAGGACTGTTGGAATATCATTGTGGAGAGGGACCTCAACCAGGCATATTTACCCAACAATTAGAGTTACCAGTATGAGGCCTAGACAGGCCAAACTATATCCTGTTGAGAGGTGTCTGAAATGAATCTGTTTGTATTGGATTTGCCACTCCTTACAAAGTAGAGCACATAGTCTCTCTTTGCCTAGGTGTGTTGCCTTCGGTATCCAAATCCATTATAGAGAGGATTAAAACTGAGATATGTGAGTCACAGCTGCAAAAAGCCACCCATCATGACAATACCTTCCTGTGGCACCATCCTTGGAGCCCCATCCCTTCATGCAGCATAGTGTCCTAGCCATGAATCTGGCCCTCCTCCCTGCTACCATCACCAGTCCTCACAGGAACTCCAGTACAGCCAGTTCAAAGGAGCTGAATCTGCTCCACCCTGGGTCACCTAGGTTCACTCGCTGAGTACAATTCTTAATGTCTCAACACACTCAACACTCAGCAGAAATCAGAGCACCTAAGTGGTCAATGCTGTGAAAGAGAAGATCAGCTTTTCAAAATTTTCCTGCTACTTTGCTGTAGGATACAGTCCTGAGTTAAAGATATAATCAACTCTTAAAATTACAGGGGAAGAGAAACAGCTGAGGTACCATGGACTGATGCCAAGTAAGACAGACGAGATACAAACTAATGAGTCAATCTGGGTCAGTCATTAAGATTTAATGATGTATGCATTTACTCCTCATGCTTCCACTGATTTGATAAGCATTTACAAAAACACCCATGGTAGATCTTCAAGAGAGAAATGAATATAAAATATTTTTTTCAGTCTATTTTTTCTTCAAACTTTGGAATGTGTATGAAGCACTTTTAATGATAGTTTAAAATGCAGATAACTGAGTCAGCTCCCCCAACCAACCCCGTAGATTTTCAGTCAGTTTGGCTTCGGTGAAGTCTAAATGTCTTCATTGTTTTGAGGATTATCATGATGGTGATGATTATTGCATTGCTTGTGGTCTACTGGACACACTGAGAAAAACAATCGGACACATGCTAGCCAGGCTGCCTTGGTGAATCTATTCAAAACGAACTGAGTAGTTAAGATATAAAGGATCTTAGGAGCATTTCCTTAAGGTTAGATAATATAAATTCAGATTAAGCCTTTTTGGTTATGTATTTATGGACAAATTACTTGACTTCTGTAATACCCAGTTTCATTTGAAATAAAATAAAATAATATTTGTATTCCTCTGGGGCTTTTGAGAAAAAAGTGAGATAATGAATGTATGACGCATTATTGGGTACATAGTAGGTATTCAATACATAGTCCTAATGGTAATAAGTATTGCTATTGTTGATGTTATAAACATTGTCATAGTGATGTACCAGAATTCAGCTATGTTAATTGGTAGGTCCATATATTAATATAAAATCATGTTTAACATATAATTCATATGTTATTAAGAACAGTATTTATGCAAAAATATATCAATGCATGTAATCAAATAGGGAGTATGGCCAACAAAATCCAGGCCAAATTCACGAGCCTTAAAATAGGGAAAGCATGGTATGAAAATTCTTTCATTTCCTACAGTAGAAGGTTTACCATCTCTGTCATACCGGGCACAAACCAGGACAGATTGGCAAATAGAATTTATTTTTACATAATCTGAAGTTCTGTTTCTGATAGAGACAGCAGCAGAAGGAAGTATTCCTGTAAAATGTCTCCTTTATTATTTTTGCAAATTGGTTGGTTATTTTTTTCACTATTTGCTTTTAAACCTCAGCAGTTTCGAAGGCAAAAGGGAGCATACATCATAGCTTACCTCCATAATTTTTATGAATTAAATTTTTTTCTCTTACACTAATAACTTATTTTCTATGAGGTAATACTGAGTATAAAAAATTATGCAAAGTATAGAAAGCATTTTAAAAATAAGATAACAATCCAAATAACCACTGTCTAGACATAACAATTAAAACTACTGTTTACTCTTTTTTCCTCTGTGGTGTATTTCGTTATTGAACACAAAATAAATGCACAATTTACAGTCTAATTTCTCTTAATATTTTGCAGTATATTTCGCATATCACACATAATGCCTGATTACTTAATTAATTCTACTTTTTCATCCATAATTTATCACACCAATCTTTATTTGGCAAAATTTTACTTAATTAAGATTTTTTTCTTTTAGGTGTATTTCTGGAAATAAAATTACAGAATGAAAGATACAAATTATTTTTAAATTTTCAAGGTATAATAATTTTCTTTCCATAAAGATTTCGCCAATGCTTGCTCTTACCTTCACTGACAAACAAAAACAATTTATCTGTCAGGCAAGGGTGTAGCTCAGTATCAAAACACTTGTCTAGCATGTGTAATACATGGGTTTAATCTCTAGCACCACAAATCAAAGCAAAACAACCAGGTTGATACTGGAGATGCTAAAGGTGCTTTGATTATTGACCATTATTTCTTTTTCTACACATTCTCTATCTCTTTAGTTTGTTCCACTATCTGCTGAAGACGAAATTTTTTCCCCTTCCTTTGTTTGTTTTCTTAATAAAAAAAAGTTGTCATTTCAGAAGTTTTTTATGGAGTAAGTTCTGAGTAGTTCACTATATTACTTGCTAATGCACAACCTAGAAATATGTTTCTGTTCTCCCCACAGCGGTGTTCTACAAAGCCGGTACCAGTTGCCTCCTGCAGAGTAATTGTCCATCCTTTGATGAAAAATACTCTTAATTTTCCTTTCCCACGCCAACTACAAATGTGGCAGATTTTAGCAGCAGCCTGCTGGATGCTTCTTCTGGGATCTACATATGGTTGTGATGAGAACAGAGGGAACGTGAATCCCGAAGCTAATATGAACATTGTAAGCTGTATTCTGAGAAAAAAATCTACTCTCATAAGGCATTATTAAGTAATCATGATGTTAGATGCACTGGGTGTTCCTAATTTTCAAAAACTCTACCAGTGACTAAATCTGTGCTTCCTCCCTATTGCTAGGCATGGCTTCTATGCAAAAAGTGAAAGATCTGGTCCAAAGTGGAGCAAACCTATTCAATCTCTTGGCAGGTTGAGCTCACACGTAGCAGGAAGGGGCAGGGGAAGCAGGGGAAGGCAGCAGCAGGGTTGGGGGTTCCTGAACAGAAGGACTCACAAGCCAGTACTGATGACCCCTGTATTCTTGAGTTACTCTTGAGGCGTTTGGTACAGCACCTTTTTTTAATTTCATGAGGTATGCCAGTGTACTTCTTTGGCTAATAAACTAGGACTTGATTCTGTAGCTTAATCAAAATTATTTTTCCTCTATTGTTATCTCTAGTAGTAAAATAAACACAAACAGGTTAAGAAATTCTCACGGTGACATAGCTAATAGGAGGATAAGCAGGAATTCAATGGCTTAAAGTTTCCTGATCTGGGCTTTTGACCACTGCTCTATGTAGTCTTCCAAATTATGTATGCATCTGTCTGCCTGACATGGACAATTGCATAATCTTGTGAGAAAGATTTAGACTTTGGAGCTAAACTTCCTTTGTCATCAATCTTGTCTTTATCTTTTTCTCAGACAAGTTACTTATCTTTCTGAACAGTTTTCTTAGCCGTAACACAGGTACAGCTCAAAGGCCCTTTTAAGGATGAATGAGACAGGATACAGATGACAACATGCACCAGATATGCACCAGTTTCTCTCTTCCTTTGTATCTACAGCTGGGATTTCATTTACTAATCCATGAGTTCATTCTCTGTCCTTAGCTTAGCCAGTGAAAATCTTGAACATGAGATAGAAGGAAGGATGAGGTCTGGTTTTGGTTTTGGTTTTGGTCATCACTTTATCACCTGTAAAGTTAATTTGTGGCAAGCCATCTTATTCAGTCTGGCCTTTTCTGCCTGGCTTTCTTGGTCCAGATTCTGAGAGTGAGTAATATCACACTTACCAGCTACAAGGTACTCACAAGGGTACAGTAGTTCCCCTCATTACATTCATATATAATTTTTGTCAACACCTTTTAAGAATGAGATAATATGAAAATATGAGGCCAACAAACATAACCAGAGATCTTTCCTAAGCAAACTGCTACGTAGAAGCGTAACTGTTGGGTCATTCCATCCTGCCTTCCCCATGTCGCTGCACGCCACAGTTTCAGGAATCCTCCCCCATCTTCCTAGTTTTCCAAGTATTTTTCTGATCTTATCCATAGATCAAATAACAGGAAGATGCAATGTAGAGTAGTATATTGCAATGATTGTCTAAGAAGTAAAAGATTATGTCATAAACATATTCTTTCCTTGTTTTAGAGCCAGATTATTTCCTATTGGGGTTATCCTTATGAAAAGTATGATATTGTGACAAAAGATGGCTATATCCTTGGAACTTATAGGATTCCCTATGGAAGACGATGCCTAGAGAAGACAGGTATGATCAGTTTTTTATGAAATGAAAAAGTACTTCAAGCACAAATACCTAGAAGTCCTCATAGCAGCAGAGTAATTTTTTTTTCTGAAATAAGATGAAGTTCCTTCAATTGGAAGATCCAACCTCTGCCTTTATTTAATCTGCACAACTCTTTCATTTTTTAAACGATTTTCAGACACTTTGTCTCTCATCATCAGCTTCCAAACATGGAAAACAAAAGAGAATATGTTCTTACTCAACTGACGCCACTGTACAGTTTTGAAAATCAGAAAATTAGGAGTCATTCTTGACACTATCTTCTCTTTCACTTTCTTTTGTGCTGCTAATCACCAAGATCTCTCATCTTTACCTTTTAAATTTCTCTCTATTCTGAAAAACTCTCAGAATTGAGACTCAAATATATGTTTGGACAAAGGTTCTTCAGCTACTACCATGCCTTCTAACTCCTATTAATCCACATGCAATCACTTCTCTACCAGCCAATGTTATTTCTTAAGGTAAATATGACCCTACTAGTTCTATGTTTAAACTTCATTAAATAATCCTTTCTCGCTTCCTATAATGCAGGCTGCTAGGTATAGGGAAAAAGTGACCCAGGTGGTAGAAGCAGTTTGTTTTCTTGTCTCACTTCTTAGCTCCTTTTCTTCATTGGTATATTGCAGTACGAGATCTCTCAACATCAGAAAGCTTAAAAAAAAATACATCCATTTTAAGAGAGGGAGATATCATGGTGTTCCAGACTCTACAGAGCTAACCATTTGCCATAGTCACTCCATTACTTTTGTAAACACTGGTGAGAATATTTTAAATCTCCCTGAACTTTTCATCTATCATTTCTGCCACATAGTTGTCAAAAGCACCAAATAGAAATCTGTATTCTGATAAGCTCTCGGAAGCCTCAGCTTAGGGAAAGCCTAGGGACTGTGGCAGCTACTTAGCAGTATTTAACTTTAGTAGAGTTAATACCTCTTGTTTTTCCCTCCTTTTTCCAAAATATGGATAAAGCATCTAGGCTCAATCCTTTGCTTCTAGAAGGCTGATGTCTCTCTGAAATTCCTCCCAGCCTACTCAGTCTGAGAACCCTAGTGTAGCCCTACAAGCAAGTTTTCATCATGTCCTGAGGTACAGATGTAGCATCAAAACCATTTTAAAGGAGAAGAAAAATCTGATCAATCTTTTTCTGCTTTCTTTCTTTTTCAAAACCACATCCTCATTTCCTTATTTCATTTCCTTAGTTAAAATATTCTTATTCTACATAGGAAGTAGGATTTTCAGATTGAATTAACAATTTTGCGTTGCATGTAATCCTCCTTGTAACCTTGTATTTCGCTTTGTAACAATTCAAATAAAATGAAGCAATATCTATAAAATCTATCAGAGTACCTTAGATACAATAAACATTCAACAAATGGAATTTTTATTATCATTTTTATTATTTTGAGAAAATGTTAATGTTTTCTAGATTTTTTGTCAGAAATAAAGTGCTATTAATATGAGTAATAGTATTAAAACTAATACTGATTGCATTAGCAGATCTTTTGTATATTTACTTATTGACTTCTTATGACTAGCCTAAGAAACATTGTCTGTTGTACAGAGAGATTAACTATACTACAAAAAAGTTCATTCTGAACAAGGGCGAGCAGGCTCCAGAACCTATGCAGCACATCCTGTATAATCCAGTTTTGAAAATGAGAAACATAAAACGTAAAGAAGATAGAGTACTTACCCAAGTAAGGAGCTCAGAAAAGACTGCAGGTTTTCCTGGGAACAAATTTTATCCCTTAATCTCTGTTCTCTACCACAACAAGTGAGTTAAAAAAAAATAGGATTTTTTCATAGACTCTGAGGGAGTTCAGACATGAAATTCTCGCTGCTTTCTTTGCAGCTCCAAAGCCTGTTGTATACTTGCAGCATGGCTTAGTTGCATCTGCCAGTGACTGGATTTGCAACCTACCCAACAGCAGTTTGGCTTTCATGCTAGCAGATGACTGTTATGACGTGTGGATGGGGAACAGCCGGGGAAACACCTGGTCCAGAAAACACGTGACATTGTCACCCACCTCGGCAGAATTCTGGGCCTTCAGGTGAGAAAAACTTGCTAATAAAGTAAGTGTATACTTTGCTCATTTACATGCATAAATATCCACTTTCTTCCTCTATTCAAGCTCTGAAGAGACGCCCTCATTATTGCATTACTGTCTGTTTTCAAGCTTCACTTCCTTTCTGGTGGGGGCATGTCCCAAACTCAGAATGGCTAAGAGCTTGAGGGTTCCCTCAGCAGAGCCTAAAGCTGCTGTCTGCTTCAGACATGTGACCCACTTGGTCATAGAGGAAAAACCCATACACTTGCATAGTAAAAGAACCCTGTCTTAGAGACCAGCGAAGCTACTTGCTCCTTAATCTCCTTCTTGTCTTCTGGAAGTTGTTGGTATTTCTTAATTCCACATCCCGGTGCGATTATGTCATTGTAATATTGTAAAGGACCAGATGACTCCCTGAGTGTTTCCTAAGCTCTACACTGAGTCCCAAGCACCTGAGGCCATTGATAAATTTACAGATTACCAGAGCTCTTTCCTGGAAATTCTGCTTCATTTCAGGCTAGGCTGAGGTCTGAGATTAGGTGGTTTGTTTTGTGTGTGTGTGTGTGTGTGTGTGTGTGTGTGTGTGTGTTTATGTATTTTGTGCAGGGTCTCACTGGGCAGCTCGGACTCTTAGTGATCCTCCTGTCTTCAGCCTCTCCAGTGCTGGGAGTGCAGGCGTGAGCCACCACGCAGGGACTTGGTCACTGTTTTAGTGTACCCAGGGGGCAGGGCCAGCACAACATGTGGTGTCAGGGATTAAACCCCTGGTCCCTGCACCTGCCTAAGGAGGTGCTTAGTCTGCTGAGCTATCTCGCTGGCCCTTGAAAATATGTATTTTGGATAAACACTGAATTTTTTTTCAGAAGAGATTGATAACATCTGCTAATGCATTAAAATAAGTGTGAGTAGGGGCTGGTCTAAAGCACCTACTTAGAACAAGCTTAGCAAAGCACAGGGACCACGGTTCAATCACCCAGCACCACATGCCAGCCAGCCCCGCCCCCTGGTGGGCTGAGATGGCCACACACACACACACACACACACACACACACAAATAAAATATAAAAAAAATAAGTGTGAGTAGCCTACAAGAAAAGTATTAGTAAGACCTTAAAAATTGTATTGAGGGTCGGTTAAATAGCTCAGCGGATTGAAGCACCTGTAAGCAGGTACAGGGAGCGGGGGTTCAGTCCCCTGGGCCTACTGTGCTGGCCCCGCCCCCAGGGTGTGCTGAGATGGCAATTGAGACTGGGCATGGTGGTGTACACCTTTAATCCTAGCTCTCCAGAGGTTGTAAATAGGAGAATCACTATGAGTCCGATCTAGTAGTGAGACCCTGAACACCCTGTGGACCCTTCCCTAAAATACAGAAAAAATAAATTGTATTTACCTAACTGAAGTTTCTTAAACTGTTCTTTCTTGCTGAGCCTGAGAAGTCACTCAGATGCATAACATCATATACTAACACTAGTCTTATATCAACAAAAGCAAAATCTCCATATCTGCAATGAATGCTTTTGACTATTGCAGGCCTCACAGAGGGCTGATTTCCAATTGGCTTTTTCCAATTATTGTTTCTTTTCTTTCCCAGCTTGGATGAGATGGCTAAATATGACCTTCCAGCCACAGTTGATTTTATCATAGAGAAAACCGGACAAGAGCAACTCTACTATGTGGGCCACTCCCAGGGGACCACCATAGGTGTGTTTTGGGGCATGTGCTATTGAATATAAGTGCTTCCATCTCTGTGGAAAGGATCAATGCTTTCTGTGAAGTCTCTTGGGACCTGCATTAGCAAATCATTTTTTCTGGGTGGTTTCTGAAGAGTAAACAAAACAAAGATAATAGTAAGAGATTTCTAGATAGATCTAAAAGAAAGAATATTCATCTATTCATTTGTATACCCCACAAGCATTGTGAAACAAGTTGTGTGAAACACAGGTTGTGTGCTGGCTTAGCAGAGATAAATACAGTGTCCATGGTTTCCTTCCAAATCTCACAGGCTAGAGAAAGGCAGAAAGAAAGCAGAAAATTATAAAACTATGTTTTCATGCAACAGTCACTGTGACTGGGGCTGGTGAGATGGCTCAGTGGTCTAAAGCACCTACTTAGAACAAGCTTAGCAAAGCATCAGGGACCGCGGTTCAATCCCCCAGCACCACATGCCAGCCAGCCCCGTCCCCTGGTGGGCTGAGCTGGCCACACACACACACACACACACACACACACACACACACACACACAAATAAATAAAATTTAAAAAAAAAAAACCTTAACAGTCACTGTGACTTCTTTTTTTTGACGGAACTGGGGATTGAACTCTGGCCCTTGTGCTTGCCAGGCAAGTGCTTATTCTACTGAGCTATCTCCCCCACCCTTGTGACTTCTGTTTACTACTTTTGGTTTGCTTTTGGGTAGACCAAATGTGAGTAGATCACATTGGCAATGCCAGGAGGCACCTCACCCTTCTTACTTTTCTTTTTAAAAACTACAAACTACATTTTGGGGACCATTGTGACCCATGGCTATGAGACTATTGCTGTGTGTCTGTGTGTGTATGTGTGTGTGTGTGTGTGTGTATGAGACATCATCTAAAGATCTTACTATCCTCATTTACCAATTGAGAACACTGAGATGTTCATGAAAAAGGAAACTTCACACAACTAGGGAGTGCGAAGCCAAGATTCTAGCTGTTTGGTCTGACATCAGACTATGATGAAACTGTGATGGTCCTGAGAGAGGAGTCAGGCATGATCCACAGAGGATGCTGAACCTTCTAGTCAGTACTTCCTATATAGGTAGACATGCTCTACCAGAGACAGAAAATCAACTTTAATCTGAATTAGCTAATTCCACCCTTGGGATATTTAGAAATTCTTCCCACAAATGGCAATTATTCTGTATCATTTGTTTTGCTTTATTTTGAATGTGGTTGGCTTTGTTATCATAAAATGATGAAATACTAGTTTAAATCTGTGCACTACTATCTTTCCTGGCTTTCAGCTTTCATAGCATTCTCTACAAATCCAGAACTGGCTAAAAGGATTAAGATTTTTTTTGCATTGGCACCAGTTGTCACTGTGAAATACACTCAGACTCCTTTGAAAAAAATTTCAAAATTTTCCAGGGAAGCCATCAAGGTATGTGACTTCCTCATATTTAAATCTGAACTAATGATGCATATCTCCACTTCTGTCAATTTCAAGAGAGGGCAGATGACATTTTATAAAGATCTGAGAATATGACGATGGGTGCCTGAGGCATCCTCACTGACTTGCTGATGATGTTCAATCTTATTAGCAAGGTTCAGAGAGCTCGTTCTGATGAAGTTGGTGTCCTCATCTGTCTCTAAAAGCTTCCTGTGTCACTCCTCAAAGGCAGCGTAAGTGAGAGCTAATGTGTTCGTCTGTGTGTTTAATTTAAGGAACCTCTATTTTCTTATTCATCGTGGCTGTACTACTAATTTACATTCTTAAAAGAATGTAAGGTTTCCCTTTCCCTATGTCCTTAACAGCCCTTTTTATATTTTATTCTTTTGATAGTAGCTACTTACTCTACTGGAACGAAGTGACAGCTCATTGTGATTTTGATTTGCTTTTTTTTTTTTTTTTTTTTTTTGTGGGACCAGGGATTGAACTCAGGCCCTCGCGCTTGCCAGGGAAGCACTTATTCCACTGAGTCATTCCCCCAGCCCCCTTGATTTGCATTTTTCTGATGATGAATGATGCTGAACATTTCTCTGTGCATGTTTACCATTTGCACGTCATTCCTTGAGAAATGACTATTTACATCTATTGCTTTTTTTTTTCATCTATTGCTTATTTTAAAATGGTCATATCTCTGGGGTTTTGGCTATCATGCTGAATTACTTAGGTATTCTTGATATTGATCTTTTGTCAGGTGTATATATTTTGAATGTATTTTCTCTCATTCTGTAGGTTGTCTCTTCATTCTGTTGTTTGTTTCAATTGCTGTTTAGAAGTTATGACAGATTTGCAGTATATTTTAAATTCAATAGTGCAATCCTCTGGTTTGCTCTTATGGGTCAATAATACTTTGTTATTTAATTTTGTGGTTCTTTACAAATTGTAGTAGTTTTTCAGGTTGTATGAAGAATGTCATTAATATTTTTATACAAATGGCAATGAATCTATAGATCTCTTTGGGTAGTATAGAGATTTTAACAATGTTGAATCTTCTAGTCCATGAACATGGAATGTCCTTTTTTTCCCCATAATTTTATTGAGAAACAAATAGCAATGAGACAGTTTCAAACCAAACTGGTAGGAGAGTTTCAATAATTAATACATTGCATATATTCTTCCTAGTGGTTATTTGCTGTACAAGATGCGGACATGACATACTATTTACAAACACCATTAGAACAAATCCCTCTATTCATTAAGAGAATGTAACTATATATATCTATCCTAACCGCTTTGAATACACAGATACAAAATGGACATTCATCTGTATAACCCTTTTTTTCTAAGTTCCATTATTTGAATATTATAGGTGTGTAAACTCAGCAAAATACTCTAAAAGAGTCCAGTAGTCCATAATAGTATTGAGTCTTCCGCTTCACTGGCAATGTCAGAAATTGTTGACCCGAGTCCCCTACAGCTCAACACAACAGCATGGCTTTATTTCTTATACTTCATTTTTATACTTTTCTGCTGGATGGTTAAGACCAAGATAAAGCAAGACTTATGCAACAAGAGTTGTAGCTTTTAGGTCTGATAAGGTCAGAGAAATTCCCTCAGGATTTATCTTGAGATCCTGTACCTCAAATTGTAGATCCTTTGTCAGTGTCAGCCATGTGGATGAGTCACGGCCATTGCCTGGCAAATGTGCTCTCTGTGAAAGCCTGAAAGAATGTTTTCTCTCCGTGTGACTCTCCTTGGGCACACGCTATATCATCGATCACTTTCCTCTTTGGCCCCATAATCTACTTCATCAGAAAATTTGGGACACTACTGAGTTACATGACATTACAGTACAAGTTCTCATATGTCCTGAGTCTTAGTTGACCTTGGAAGGCTAGGCCCAAAATGTTGGCTTTCCTTGTGGCCCTCCTTTTTCTCTAATTTTGGTCTGCAAACTTAGGTTGCTAACCCTCCAGGAGAGAAGTTTACTGTTATTACCATACAACCTAGGCTGTTAAGCTTAACCTCACTATCTGTGTGAATATCAAACATCTTAGGCATAACATGGAACAGGTATCTTTCATCAAGTACTGACTGATATGTTGAACTTTAAGTCCCTACAGAATATGATGAAAAAAACATTTAAAATTAGAATATATTTTAAAATAGGCATAAAAAATTATATACTTCTTATGTTTACACTTAAGTCCAAAAATCTAACCATATACATCCTTGAAGCAGGACAGTCCCACAACATTCTTTTTCCTATCTCCTGCCTTCATTCACCACACCCTTCTTTTTAAACAATCATCTACCTGAGAGACAGCACAGCAGCAACCGGCATGTCATGACAAGCAGCCCATATTCCACAGACCAGAATGACAGGCACTCCGAGCATGAACCTACTATTAAATTGCCATCTTCAGTGCAGTTGCTTAGTTCACAGGTATCAGTATATATAGTTAGTCAGGGTGAGAATCTTTCCAATTAGCTGCTAGGTACAAAAATATTCTGGAGATCATCAGGATCATTGCCTTGTCCATCTTCTACATATAACTGTATGGCTTGTCACTGTCATGTTTCCTAGCTCTTCTCCTTTACCTCACTTAATTAGTCCTCCAATTCTTGCTTTCCTTTTACTTGTATTATACCTTTCTATTTGTATTTTTTCTTTTGAGTTCTTATATTAGGGAAACTATATGATATTTACACATGTGTGTCTGGTTTATTTCACTTATGTGTATATCTTCAAGTGGTATCGACTTCAATATAAAGGTTTGAAGTTTATCATTCTTTATAGCTGAGTAATACTCCATTGTATAAAAATACCACATCTTTTTCATCCATTCCTTAGGTGATGGCCATCTTTGTTGTTTCCAAGATTTAGCTATCACAAATTTTTTTGTGCTGCTATAAACATAGGCACACATATATCACTATGATATGATGTTTTCAGATCCCCCAGGAAAATTCCCAATGAAGGAATAGCTGGTTGAAATGGGATTTCCAGTCCAACTTTTCTAAGGAGTCTCCACACTGATTTCCATAACAGTTGCACCAGTCTACATTCCCACCAGCGGTGGAGAAGGGTTCCTTTTCCCCACAGACTCTCCAAAATTTGTTGTTGGTTGATTTCTTTATGATTGCCATTCTTTCTGGGGTGAGATGATATCTCAAAGTTGTTTTAATTTGCATTTCATGGATGGCTAGTTATGTGGAGCATTTTTTCATATATTTTTTGCTTCTTTAATTTCATCCTCTGAGAAGTGTGTGTTCATCTCACATGCCCATTTCTGGACTGGGTTTTTAAATTTTGGGGCCCTAGTATTTTCTAGTTCTTTATAAATTCCAGAGAGCAGACCTTTGTCTGAGTACTAATTTCTCATGACTTTTTCCAAATATGTGGGTTGTCTTTTCACTTTGTTGATAATTTCTTTTGATGTGAAAAAACTTCTCAGTAAGAGCAGGTCCCAGTTATTGATTCTTTCAAGGGTTTTCCATGCGATTTGATTTTTGTTCATGAACTTTTAGCCTACCCTACGTCTTCAAGAGTTCCTCCTTCTTTCTCTACCAGGAGATTTAGTGTCTCTGTTTTAATGTTTAGATCTTTAGTCCATTTTAACTTTATCCTAGTGCATGGTGATAGATCTGGGTCAAGTTTTAGTACTCTGCATGTAGAGAGCCAGTTTTTCCAGCACCATTTGTTAAAGAGGTTATCTTTCTTCCAGTGAGTATGTTTTGCTCCTTTGTGAAAGATAACATGGCTGAATGTGTTCGTGGGAGCTTCAGCATCTTCTAGTCTATTCCATTGATCCTCAAGCCTATTTCTTTGCCAAAACCATGCTGATTTTTATCACATTATCCTTGTAGTGTAATTTCAAGTAAGAATTGTAATGCTTCCTGCCTTGTCTTTATTGCCCAGGATTGCCTTTGCTATCCTAGGTCTTTTCTAGTTCCAAATAAATTTTAGGAATGATTTCTCTACCTCTATGAGTATGTTGGTGGTAGTTTGATAGGGATTGCATTAAATCTGTACAGAAATTTTGGGAGTATGGCTATCCTCACAATGTTGGTTCTTCCTATCCAGGAGCATGGAATATCTTTCCATTTTCTGAAATCCTCTACAATCTCTTTTTTAAGAGTACAGTAATTTTCCTTGAAAAGATCTTTGACTTCCTTAATCATATTAATTCCAAGGTATTTCATTTTCCTTGGTGCTATTATAAAAGGTATTGTTTCTCTAATTTCCCTTTCAGTGTGTTTGTTATCTGAGTAGAGGAATGTTAATGACTTTTGGGTATTGACTTTGTAACCTACTATGCTACTGAATTTCTGTATTAATTTTAGTAGCTTCTTGGTGGAGTTTTTTGGGTCTTCCAAGTACAGTATCATGTCATCTGCAAATAATGATGATTTAACTTCTTCTTTACCTATTCTTATTCCTTTTATTTCTTTCTCTTTTCTAATGACTCTAGCTAATGATTCTAGGGCTATATTGAATAGGAATGGTGATAGAGAACATGCTTATCTTGTACCAGATGTAAGAGTAAAATATTTCAGTTTTTCTCCATTTAGGATTATGTTAGCTGTTGGGTCTTCATAAATGGCTTTTACCAGATTGAAGTAGAGGCCATCTATTCCAAGTTTCTGTAGGACTTTGAGCATGAATGAGTGTTGGACTTTGTCAAAAGCCTTTTCTGCATCAATGGAGATGATCATGTGGTTTTAGTTTTCACTCTATTGATATAGTGTATTACATTTATAGATTTTCGAATATTGAACCATCCTTGCATCCCTGGGATGAATCCTACCTGGTCATGGTGTATGATTTT